AAAGGAAAAACCCTTGAAGCGACAATTTTGAAATTGTACAGTAAAGCCGATCAAAGTTTTAATTTTCCGAAAAAAAAATTATAAAAAATTAAAATTTGAAGTTAGAGCGACAGGATAAAAAACAGTTTCTTTATTTTTTATTTACTGTCCACTATTAAACTTCGAAAAATATGCTAGCATGATGAAAGGATTTATGTGTCGCTTAATTATTTTTTGGCAAATATAGCGGAAGGAAAAACACATTAAATGCCAATTCAGTACTTTGACAAACGCTAGGAAAATCACATGAAGTGACAAGCTATGCATGATATAACTAGGAGGAAAACAACTTAAGCGTATCGAGCATAAGATACATGGTTGTGGAAAAACGAATTAACTAACAAAACCTTAATATGCTAAGTAGAGGAAAAACACTATATGCACTAGCTATGTAATAATTCAATGTTGTATTTTTAACTCAAGTCCCTACTTTGTTTCCCAAGGATACCAAAAAAAAAAGGAATATAGAGATAAAACAGTGCCTTTTATTGTTTTAAGCGCTTACTGGTACAACATTTTACACTGAAAAACCCCATTCCAATGGGAAAATAAACATGAAGTGAAGTGTAAGTACATTACTATCTTCATGAGTGATCAAACAATATTATAAACAAGGAACACAGTGTACCGGTTCTGTATTGCAAACATACATTGATCTTATAAACCTAACTTTCACTATTAGAGATTTTAACAGCCATAAATTCTGTATCAAAATATTTCAAATTACTACCTATTTTAGTCTTGTCTTAGTCAACGTTGCTAGCACTAAGTATACCTAAGTAAAATTGTGAAAACAAAACAATTAGGCATTTGTTTCTGTATTGCAAACGTACTTTGAACTTATAAACCCAACTTTCAAAAATAGAGATTTTAACAGATATAAATTCTGTATCAAAATATTTCTAATCACTATTAGGCACCTATTTCAGTCTAATGACTTAATCAACATTGTTAGCACTATAAGTAAAATCTAAAAAAAACAAGCATAATTAAATGATTAATAGGAACATTAAAATCACATACTCATACTATCAAATTTAAGGTTCGATGTTGCTTCTTGTACTATAAATCAATAGCATCCTCAATATCTGTTTCTGCTAACGTATCAATACCAACGACGTGAGGTATAATAACACATTCGTTGTGAAACAGTCTTGATATGGCAAAACTCTCGCAAAGTTTTATCAAATATTCATATTAACAGTAACTGGGTAAAGACTTCTCGTAAAACTGTTTCACAATTTGTGAAGTTGGAGCTTTGTTTATAGATATAATTTCTTCTTCAGCATCAGGTAACACAAAGTATTTAACTGCCGTCACGTTGAGACTTGAATTTTATGAACGGCGGCCAGTACAATTCTATTTTTGTTTTGACCAGGGCAGGAATCCGAATACAGTATTAGATGTTTTACTGTGCCACGTTCTTCCATCAATTGTATGTATTTTTGTATAATAGAACTTATTTCATTGCCTCCTCTCTTACCTTCAGATTCTTCCCATATGTAACAGAAACCGTCTCTTGTACCATTTTCATAAAAGCAAACACTGTACATGGCATATTTTCGTGAATAGTACAAGAGCAAACTCTCACCATGTGGAGTATTTAAAACCTTTTGCAGGTCGAATGACACACATACTACATCATTGCGCTTTTGGGCGAGTTCTCGATGTTGACTGTACCTCTCTTTACTGGTTTCTTTTTCTTTGAGATGTTCCTCTTTCAGCATTTTACTCTCTTCAGTATTTAAAGCATCAAATTTCATACATTTTATGCATTTATCCTTTTTGGGAACGCGAAATCCGATATTAAATTCACTCTTGAAAATATTTAAAAAGACTTTCTCACTGACCACGTCGAAACATTCTGAAGTTTTCTGATCCTTGTAAATGCGATATAAATTTTTTTGGTTTTTAAATTCAACGGGTAAGTAAAGTTTCTTGAAGGTCCCTAAGTCGTATCGATCCGGAAAAATCGCTGATGGTAATCGATTCCACAAGGAAGACGTCCGAGGAAGAAAACATCTTCAAAATCGCACAGTGGTGGACCGCCAATCATCATGATGGTGTGGATGGTATCGGGAGTTCTGTCGCGATGTGCGTTTGTAAAATTTGGCGGCTGGGATTAATCCGAACAATTCCTCAGAGCACTCCCCATGGTAGATGCGAAAGAAAATGCAAAGGGATGCAACATCTCTTCGCAGTGCCAATGAATCGAGCCGATCGGAAAGGGTTCGGTCGTCGACGATTCGAGCCGCTCTGCGCTGGATGTGGTCAAGTGAAAGGAGCTGGCACTGGGGAGCCCCTGCCCAGAGATGGGAACAGTATTTTCTACGTGGTAGAGCCATGCTGCAGCTATATTATGGTTGTCGCACGAATGGGTCGGCTCGACTGGGGAAGGACCACGCTCTCACAGAAAACCAGCGTAAAATAGCAGCTTAACGCTGCTGTGTTTCGTATGGTGAGTGTAGAGAACCGGACACCCTTTTTACTGGCAAAGAGGCATTCCATCTTAGTCCTTACGGGTGACAACGCATCTGCATCTTGAGTCTTTATTGAGGATAGATGTAGATGTCTATGGGTCACAGTAACCACTGACCATCAGGTGGACTGTGTGCTCGTTTGTCACCCGATCCTATAAAAAAAAGTATTCCGTGTGAGGCCGAACCTGCGCCTTGTAAAGAAAGTTGCAGGCGGTGTGCCGGCATGTAATACTGTCCCGCTCTGCTGAGCACACCAAGCTTTTTAGAGGCCGATTTTGGCCTTCTCTTCCAAGTGACCACGAAACTGCACGTCACTCCATATGTCGACTCCGAGGATTCCGATACTGGCTGAGGTAAGAAGGGGAGTGCCTTGAAACTGATAACACGAAAATTTACGTATTTACAGGTACTTACATTTACTAAAACACGCATTCTCTGTAACTGCTGTTCGCGATGCGACGAAACGTGCTGTGCCTCGACGGCAGTTCACCGATGAATGAAGCGCCACGTCACAACCATTTCCCAATATAGGTGACGTCACTTACACAAAAGAGACCGAAATTCATTGCTTGTAGCGACAAGACTTGTTTTGAATAGTTAACTTAAATACACAATATCGTAAACAATGCTTACTTTAACCGACTATCGTCTTCATTTATGAAGTTAGCGAAATTAAATGAACCGACGTTTCGGGAATAAAAGACTATGTCGGTTAATTTAAATATTTATGTGGTTTTTATGTGTGTGTTTACTTTTACCGACAACACTGCTTTTTAAAGCGATTGCCAAAACAACTGAAATCCATAATATACTATAATAATAATGTAGGAAAAACACATTAACCCCATCATACAGATATAAGGTAAGCAAGGAAAAACGAATGTAGCGACTGAGCACCAACGGAATAGGAGTAAGCAAAACACATGTAGTGTTTAAAATAACATTTCCTATGACGGGGAAAAACTATTTAAGTAACCTATAATATCAGAAACAAAAAAGGAAAAACACATTAAATAATAATCTAACTATGGAGTCGGTACTTCAAGCGGTAAATGGACCAAAATTGCTTTAATTCTTTGTCACTTCATTTAGCGTCTAAAAAAATTGAGCCTAAATGTGTCATTACTTTAAGCGACACCAAAGTGGTCGGATCACCACGAAACTAAGACCAATCGACGCAGAAAAAATCGCTGATTTCAAATATGTATATAACTCATTTTCAACCAAAGTGTCGCTTCAAGTGTTTTTCCTTTCCACCGTCGATATGTATATATTTAAAGAGAGATGGCGCTGCTAACATCAATTCTAAAAATAAAAAAGATTAATTGACGCGATTGATACATTATATAAGACGCAAGAGAACTTATAAATCAGTGCCTGGTGCCTGCACAGTAAGCAAAAAATAAAGTTTGACTCTCGCCAAAACCAACGCAATTGTTAATAGCTCTTTTAAAATTTGATTTACCACATAGAGTACTCGGCGGTAAAGAATAAATTGAGTTTGTCGACACGCAGTAGGGCAGCGAGTAATATAATAAAGATTAGCAGTAAATATGAAAACTCATCTACAGGAAAAAAACCACATTGAAATTGCATTACATTTTCACAACACCACCATCTATCGAAGAAATGGGTTAGCTATTGTGCTTCAGATTTAGTTAATAAGGTTAATATATTTTTGTATAATATATTTAATACGTTCTTTAATACTTTTGTTTACTGCGTTTTAGATATGCATAATTATATCATTATTTTACATAATTTAACTATGATTTATGATATGATATTAGTTTAAAATGCACTTGATGACTCAAACAAAGCCACCGTTGAGCAAATTCGTACCTATACTTCCCTACCCATACTTCAGAATATTTATCATAACTTTTGATGGAATGAACTGATTTTAATGAAATAAAGACTAAATGTAACCCGAAGATACACTTTATAATTTCCTTAACAATTCTTATGATATAAATTAGTACTTTATACGTGATACGTTAACAAACAAACAGACAGACAGACAGACAGACAGACAGACAGAAAATTCTAAAAATGGTAGAAATGTATTTAATTACTTATTTTTAGTACCCCTCAATCACTTTTATTACAAAAATATAAAATGTACAGACATCTGCTATTTACAGTTTTATTATATGTATAGATGAGTTCTTGTACTATTATTTATTCTGTGCTATGTGTAAACAAGCACTTAAAGTTGGAATTCACCACTTGATTGGTGCCGGCGGGTTTGTTTCGTTTAATTGTAATCTTAAGTGCTGTTCCACCACGTGAAGCGGTTCGAGTCCAGCTGTGGACATCTTGATGATGATTAAAAGAAGAAGATGATGAGTCAAATCTGCCATACATTCAAAACTATACAATAAAACAAAGCTTGATTAATGGTAGCTTGACTTGACTGGCCGCAGGTTGGCAGGCACTGATGGCAAAGTTTTGCCGCCAGTGACGCCGTATTCCTGCTGCATGCCCGGTGTCCTTGTGGCGTGCTACCATGACCCCTTCCAACAGGTATTTAATTTTTGGACATTATTTTTAACACGGTTTACCTTAGGTCAAAGACATTTTTAAATGTCTTTATTTACTATTTAAAAATATTAACGAGCGATAGACGGGACAACGCTGTCAAAATCGTTATCCATTACTTACTAGGTACTTATTTATAGGTAACAAGTCGCTTAGTCTAGTGTGATATGAGACCACGAGAGGTCGTATTCATGTGCAAATTTTGGCTAAAAGAATGTCTTCAATGTGGGTGTCTTCACGGCAAGAGTGAATAGGTTTTTGTTAAGTCAGTGTTTATCATCTTTGGCTGCATCTTCACTTACCATCAGGTGGGTTAGTAGTCAAGAACTGCCTTAGAATAGTTAAAAAAAATTGTTGAAGGATGGCTAGTATTCATAGTTTTGTTAGGACCCGATAGCTGATAGATGTCACAGCGGTTTAGTGTCAAAAAGGAAAATTACAAAATTGGGATCCAATATGTGGCAGTCGAGATAATAATAAATTTTATGTTTACACTGTAAGGCCCGCCACATACATACGGAATTCCATTTCAGGATTCCGTTTTGGAATTCCGATTCGAGATTCCGAACGCAGCAAGTTATATAAAATCTATGACCCGTCACACACATACGGTCATATATTTTATATGGACTTGCTGTATTCGGAATTCCGAATCGGAATATCGAAACGGATTTCCGAAACGGAATTCAGTATGTATGTGGCCGGCCTAAAAGGCATGGAGTGAATACGGAGTGAGACACTTCCCGCCATTTATCGTAAAGGGCAGGACAACGTCTGCCGGACCAGCTAGTTGAATAATAAAATGTCACAAGACAAAATAACATGCGTCCACGATCGATCAGGTTCCGAACAAAACAAACCATCGAGAGACAGTAAAATAAAACGTAATTGTAACTCGTTTTATGTATGTTGGTTTAAGGAGGCTTATCCTTGGCCGATGAGGTTATATATTCTGACGCTCAGCAGATGTCGCTAGTTGGGACTAAAGTGAACTTATTTGTTATTCAGGTAGGCACAAAGTGTCATCATCGTTGGAAAGTTTCAATTTAATTATAAGTTTTTTGATTTCTAGTGTATGTATTCTAGTGTGTATATACACAAAACAATGCCTCAATGCTGTATTATGACTACTCAACTGAAGTGGGCTTATGTTTCTCAATATAACCGATACTATGTCAAAGGTGGTGTTATGTTTGTGAATATAAGGTGTGCGTGTGCAGACGCAGTGGCGCGGCGCGTGGGCGGGCGGGCTGGCGCTGGGCGGCGCCACGCTGCACGCGCGCGGCTGCGTCGAGGCCGTGCGGGCGCCGCTGGCGCGCGCGCTGCTTGCGCTGCAGCTCTTCAACATGCTCGTCTTACTGCTCCAGGTGCTTTCTCACCTTATCCACCTTAGCCTAAATCCACCACTGAACACAGACCTCCTCCATAGATTGCCTCACAGGGGAGACATTGCCTCACAGGAGAGACGTTGCTTCACAGGGGAGACATTGCCTCACATGAGAGACATTGCCTCACAGGGGACACATTGCCTCACAGGGGAGACACTGCCTCACAGGGGTGACATTGCCTCATAGGGGAGACATTGCCTCACAGGGGAGACATTGTCTCACAGGAGCACATTCTTTCACATAGGAATATTGCCTCACAGTAGGGACAGTTTTCTCAGTTTTTATTTTTAGTTATTATTAGGAAGATGCTGCTGCTCTTCTCCTGGTTTTTTCCCTTTGTTGCCTATTACTACTACACCTGACACCAAATGGGATAGTGGAAATTCAATAAATTTAAATAACTATAAATTTTAATCACAACTTTTAACATAATTATAAACTAAAAAAAGCTTTCGTTCGCAGTATTATTTGTTTATTTATTTAAAAGGAATCATACATGTTTGGTAAAAATTGCAATTTTGAATGCGCGACGCGTGGTGTTCCACTACCCGTACCCGCGTGACGAGAATATAATAAATGTTCGAATGATTTCTTATATTTACGCGAAGGATGATTCGCGAGGCTATTGAAATTAAAAAAAAGCATCCTAATTTCAATAGAGAAGTTGGATGGGTGCTGCCGTCTGCTTATATATATTATATTATAATTAATAAAATTAAATCCAAACCTAAGTATACCACTGCAAGACTTCAAGATACTGTAAGCTCGTTCTGCGAAGATCGGACCAAAAATTTATATTCAAAAACTGAAGGTAGCTGGGCTAATGAAGTCAAACACCTCAGTCCCCCCCCCCCCCCCCTCCGGGACCATAGTTGCTGTAAAGCACCCGAAACGTCGGAAATTTAAAAGTTAAATTAAACGCGATAAAATCCATAAAAATTGGTTTCATTTAATAAATGTCTTATTTAAAACGATTCGGTATTTAAATCTTTCGCGGATCATATTTAAGCTCTCGCGAACCACTGGTGGTCCACGGACTACTGGTTGGGAATCACTGTTTTATAATATTAAAGTGACAAACGTCTTAACTTAGACTCCAACTGATGGTGAATGGCTATTGTTTGTGTTCATACCTATAACCAACTTCAAACAATGACCGCTACATATACATTGTTATCTTTGAGGTCTAGGATGGAATACCTCAGCCTGCAAGACTGGTTCTGTACAACCTTCACACCGGAGCACAGTAGTGCAAGTAATACCTGGCAGAAATAGGTGGTACCTTCCCAGTAGGATCCCTACGAAGAAAATACTTGTACAAAAAAAGATTGATGTGACAATAATTGTGTGCAGCTGGTGATCGTGGCGCTGACGCAGCTGTTGCGCGCGGCGCTGCGGGGCTGCCTGCTGGAACACACCTCGTCCCATCAACGAGGCGACCTGGTTAGCTTATATCATTTATACTCTTCTTCTTCTTGGCCCGTAAAGGCTGTACTCTGACTTTGAAGGGGGGGGGGGGGATTGACGATCACAGTAGGTACCAGGTGTGAACACCTCGGACTCTGCTGACGCTCTAATAAATTTATATTAATCATTTTTCCATGCATCAATCCATTAAAGTTCACTGCTCAACATTGCCTTTTCGCGTAGATATAGATTATATTATATCGTCGGCAAAATGACATTTTGCCATTTTGACATTTTGTCACGCTTGGTTATGCAGGTTTGCAACCGCAGATTTTTACTATGATGTGATGTTATCAGAAGGAGGCTGCTGCCCACCACCTGTTCCATATCCCACTGTCGCCTCTTTAACTTTTTTCAATTGTGAATTGTGTCATAATGTACAAATTTATATGTAGCATCAAATGAGGAGTTGATAGTGAGAGCAGATCGCACCTGCAAGTTTTGTAATAAATTTGCCATCGCTTGCATAAGCGTCCCACTTTGTTTTTAGCTCCTGAATGGTGTCTTTCCTTTTCTGGCCGTACAAGGCTACAGCTGAATGTAGGCTTATACCATTGCAGGCAGTATTTGTCATAATCGCTACGCTACCAAACGTCTTGTACCCTCAACGTTGTTCCTCGCTGGATTGGGTATTTAACGTCTGCCGTAAACTAGATCATTTTACCGCCATCTTTCGGAAGCTAAGAGATTCTTCTGGCATTTTCTGTAGGCCTTTTAGGGGTCTGTACCCGAAGGGTAACTAACGGGACCCTATTACTAAGCCTCCGCTGTGTGTCCATCTGTCTGTCAGCGGGCTGTATCTCATCATACGTAATAGGTAGACAGTTGAAATTTTCACAGAACATATTCTTTCTTCAAAAAACATGACCTCTACACTAGGATTTTCTCCTGTATCGTGGGGATAGTTTACAAACATAAATTGTACAAGAACAAACATCCAGACCCGGGACTATTTTTTTATAGGATAGGGTGACAAACGAGCACACAGTCCACCTGATGGTAAGTGGTTGCTGTGGCCAATAGACATCTACATCTATCCTTGTTTGCAAATCAAAATGCAGATGCGTTGTCACCGTGCGTGATGCGTGAGGACTATTATGGAATGCCCTTTTCCAGTAAAAAGGGTCTCCGGTTCTCTACACGTACCATACGAAACACAGCAGTGTTAAGCTGCTATTTTACGCTAGTCTTCTGTGAGTGTGTGGTCCTACCCCGGTCGAGCCGACCCATTCGTGCTACAACTATATTACTAATATAGCTGCAGCATGGCTCTACCACGTTGTGAAATTAGGAATTAGGAATTATTTGTAGGCCATACAAATACTTGTTTCGTGCGGACTGCGGTGAGGAATTTACTTATGTCGGCACTAAATAACAAACTATAATACGAGGGGTGATTCAAAAGTAATGATAATCGGTTACTTCAGGTCCGCATAAAAATCCAAAAAAAATATTTTTTGCTTGCTTATATACTCACAACGTCAGCCTAAAAAATCATATAAATAGATCACGATTTCCGGGAGATACATTCATTTGAATACGAACTGTCAAAGAGATAACATCAACATGGAGAAAAACGAAGTTAGAGCTGTCATCAAGTACATCTGTTTGAAAAAAATGTCTTCAAAAGACATACACAGTGACTTAGTGGAAACATTGGGGGACTCTGCTCCTCCATATTCTACAGTTGCACGCTGGGCTAAGGAGTTTAAACTGGGCAGAACATCCACTGAAGATGAACATCGCGAAGGACGCCCATCCACGTCTCGTATATAGCCTAGACAATGCCGTCTTAATGGTTCCCATTTTTAATACTTTACAAAATATTAATGCTATGAATGTTCACCATTCCAACGAAGCTTAAATGCCTGTGGTGGGAAGATTTTTGTGTACTAGTACGAGGGAAACAGACGGGCTCTGCAGTCATAATACTTTGCGCGGTAGGTTACGGTCAATTCTCCGTAACTCCTTTAGTCGACTGCAAGCGTGTGAGAAGACAAGTTATTTGTTTTGTAAACCGCAAACGATTTTTTAGACAATCTAACAATGAAATTGTTTAATATGACGAAGAAAATGCTGTCGGTTCAGACAAATATGTAATTTTAGTGTGTAATATTCGTAAATGAAAAACCAACTGCGTGGCATATTTACCATGCAAGCTACCCACGCGAACGAACCACATCTCTAACACAGTTTTCGTTTTGAATTTTCTCTGGTGGTGGAAGATGTTTCACGACAGCATGCGAATGGCGGACTCGAACCTACTAGGATAACTTTTGAAATTTATACCTCGTTTAATAACTTACGATAATATTTTTTTTATTAGGTTTCAAGGACAAACCAATCAATGAGCGCTCGTGCGGACGTAGCGCATCGGCGTGTTCCTCGAAGTTATACATACCTATCCTAGTTGTAAGAAAGTCTCATTTAATACTTGTATATATTTAGTGTTATCATTTATTCTTGTTCTTCTGTTAGACTTCGTTCCCGACTGCAATGTGTCGAAAGTTAAACTTGCCTATATACGTCCCACTGCTGGGCACAGGCCTCCTCCCATTTCTGAGAGGGTGTACGCCGCGTTGCTCCAATGCGTGTTGGCGAACTTCAAATGTTTTCGAAATATTTTTTTCCTAATTTTTAGACATGTAGATTTCCTCACGATGTTTTCCTTCACCGCCGTGCACGTGGTAAATCAACACTTAAAATTGCAATTAACAATTTAATTGGTGGCGACGGGGATCGAACCCGGGTTGCTCGAATACTGTGAAACTTTACAGCGGGCGCTAACCATCTGAGCTACCACGGCTCTTGCATTATGTCTAGCAGGCATTAAATATTCGCTTTTCTTTTTCAGTAAGGTAGTCAGATATAATTTCAGGCTAATAATTTCTATTAAGAACAGAGACACGGTTTGTGGGTTTTGAACTAAGGACTCGAAGCATATTAGCCATGTACGCTGTTATCCTGTGGCTTATTACAATAATGGATTTCTTATTAATATTATTCTAAGCCAACACTTAAATACAATCCCGCCTGATGGTAAGTGGTGATGTAGCTTAAGATGGTCAAGCGCACTGACTTAACAAAAGCCTATTCACTCTTGCCTTGAAGATACGTATACATTGTAATCGGATGGAAAGACAAATGCTGGCAACTTATTCCACTCCTTTGTTATACGGACAACGAACGATATAGCAAACCGTTTGGTTCGAATGCGTGGTAAGTCCACAACGAAAGGGTGGAGACTGGCCAAACGTCTGGTTGTCCGATGGTGGAAGGGAGAGCGAGAAATTTAATTCTGCAAGTAATTAAATTTAACTACTCGAAGAATCACCAAAGTGCAAAGTTATTATGTTAACAGAATAAAAATATTTCAACTCTCAGATTGAGGAATGTAATCTAAACTAAAATCCGCGTCATTTACAAGGTAGTAGGTTTCACTTTCTGTCTAGCATTCCGCCTGAGATGCTGCCACCTTCTTATCTAATGTTGTTGCCGAAATACACTATACTCAGTTTTGTTCCGGTTTGAAGATCAATTGAGCCAATTCACTTACGTGGTAGTCATGCTACAGCTATATTATGGTTGTAGCATGAGTCAACTCGAGCGGGGTGGGACCACGCTCTCACAGAATACCAGCGTAAAATTGCAGCTTAATTATATTATCCCGTGGATGTCGTAAGAAGTGACACAGGGAAACTGAAACAGATGTGCGATAGCATCTTTCTGATAACAACTTAAAATAACAAAGTGCGGTTTGCAAACTGCCTGCCAAGCGTGGCAACTATAGCAAAATCCCCCCAATGAGCCAGGCTATGGGGGAGCCTTTTCTCAGCAGTGGACTTTTTTAGGCGATAATGGATGGATAATTGAATATGCCCCACCGCCTGCATTCCATTTTAATCCACAGGTGTGACAATACATCTGTAGTCTCCTTTCTTAAAGGTGGTGCTGGTGTCCATGGTCTGCAGAAGCCACTATTTTCTGAACTGCAGCTCGGTTGCCATAAATATAATAAAAACTCTTTACAGCAATAGAGCGCTGTGGCGGTGAAACGATGAAATACATTTGTATGTATTTCATCATTTCACCGTATTACATATCCCGTGGATGTCGTATGGGCCAACTGAGGGAAATGCTAAAATAAGATCCAACGCTACAGGTGCGTTGTATCTGGTGCTGTGATCGCCAACGTGCTTGCCCAGAGTGGGTTTTTTTTATAGGAGAGGGGGCAAACGAGCATGCGGCTCACCTGATGGTAAGTGACTACCGCCGCCCATGAACAACCGCAACACCAGGGGAATTGCAGATGCGTTGCCGGCCTTTTAAAAAGGAGTAGGCTCTTTTCTTGAAGGTCCCTAAGTCGTATCGGTCCGGAAAAATCGCTGGTGGTAAACTATTCCACAAGGAAGTTGTGCGAGGAAGAAAACATCTTCTAAATCGCACAGTGGTGGACCACCAATCATCCAGATGGTGTGGATGGTATCGGGAGTTCTGCCGCGATGTGCGGTCGTGAAATTTGGCGGCTGGGATTAATCCGAACAATTCCTCAGAGCACTCCCCGTGGTAAATGCGAAAGAAAATGCAAAGAGATGCAACATCTCTTCGCAGCGCCAAGATCGGAAAGGACTCGGTCGTCGACGATTCGAGCCGCTCTGCGCTGGATGCGGTCAAATGGAAGGAGCTGGCACTGGGGAGCCCCAGCCCAGAGATGGGAACAGTATTCCATGTGAGGCCAAACCTGCGCCTTGTAAAGTTGCAGGCGTTGTGCCGGCATGAAATGCTGTCCTGCTCTGCTGAGCACGCCAAGCTTTTTAGAGGCCAATTTGGCCTTCTTTTCCATGGTGGGGATTAAAAGTAAATCCTCCCATGTGTGTCCACACAAACGCGGCCACTAGTTTTCGGTCGCCTCGTTATTCTTACGATCTGCGCAAGGTGCCTGGTAGGAACTGGATGCGAGTAGCCGAAGACTAGGCTAAGTGGTGTACCTTGGGAGAGGTCATGTCCAGTAATAGACATGCCGCAGGTTGATGATTTTGTTTACCATTCAATTTGATCATTTTATTTCTTTCTTTCAGGTAATCAACACTAACGCAATTTATATTGTGCGCGTATGTTGTAAATATTACGTTAATAAATATAATATAATAAATGGCGTATAATAAAACAACATTTTAATCAATGCAAGGCTTTATTTTTGACTTTATTGTAAACAAGTCCTTAAAAACTAATAGTTAAGTAACAATGCGTGGATGCGAATAGAAAAGCCGTCGTTATGATTTGTGCGGCGCCTTCTTTAAATACACGTTTATATTATAAATAAGAATAAATATATTTTTAATTTATAAATATCTTCGATTGGTTTTGGCGCATTTCGTTCGACGAGACGCCCGTCGCGGCGCAAGTTTGTCTTTTACATATTTTCCTATCAAATAATCGTTACAAATATACAAAATCCGTGATATTTACATGCGTCGGGCGGTCACGTTGGGCCTAGCACCATCTTTATGGAATGTCAGTTCGTGTCTTCAGACACCGCGTTATACAAAAGCAGTGTAGAGAACACCTTTCAGCATCAAGAGCTTTTGCCTTCCTTTTCAATCTTGTCGCTAATGTTAGTAAAGTAACGTACTTGTTAATAGTACAACTTCTATAAACGTAAGTTTTCAATAAAGTTAGCGTTGAATAATAAGTTTAGAGGGATAGATTACGTGATCCAATTTTAAGGAAAACGTACATTTACAGTTGTCAAATTCAAGAGGGGTGGATTTGGTAACATCTGCAACTCCATTTGTTTCGTCAAGGAATGATTTGAATCGTTATAAGAAACACAAAATTTCGGTTTGTGTCCAAAAAAGTTATAAGAGATTGTTGATTTGCAAATTTTGATCGATATTAAAATTTACAAGAAGAATTAATTAGTCCAAATGTCGTTTTTTCTTTAGAGCGTGATTACATCAGGTGCGTTTTTTAGTCCGAAAGGCAAGTCAAGTTTTGTTTTATAAGGGGGGCGGTCCGTCAGGATAGCGCAGCACGGGTTCGAGAGCCAGGCCGGGCGGGCGGCAGTCGGAGTGCGCGTGGGGCACCAGCGTGGCGGCGCCCAGCAGCAGCAGCAGCAGCGCCTGGAACGGCAGCGACGCGCGCGCCACGCGGCACACGAAGCGCAGCCCGCGCTGCACGCGCCCCAGCGACTGCTCCTCGTTCTCTTCACTCAGTGCCACGCTGTCAACGTGTTTGTACGTTAGCATAGACCAACATAAAGTTTGCTCATATAAGGGAAAATTAAGGCGACCTACACACACATTCGGGTCGGCACATTCGTTTTGAAAATGTTTTTTTTTTCAATAGCAAAAACGACTAGTAGTAGTTCTAAAGATTTTCACCTTTCAATAAACTCGACCTAAAGGCATAAACTTTCGTGTTTTAGCGTATCTTTGTCGGATCGCCGTGTAAATTTTCACGTGGATATTTGACTTATAACTAAGGTGTTTGTTCCGGTTTTACCACATTTTTATTAACTCGCTTTCTTGTCTGTTCGATATAAATTTTCCAATTAATATTAAATTGATTTCCCGATGAAACTAATAATAGCTCAAAACTGGATGACAATGCAATATAAAAATTCAGCCCCTTGTCTATACATTTGTTTGTTCTGTAAAAATATTTCTATCGGTTTTAATCTAACTTCTCGATAAGCCAGACTTGAAACTTTAAACAAAACTCAGAACTGGAAACGTAGTAAACTCAACTATACACAACATTAAATACTACATATAGATAGGTCATTCCTATCGCCTAATTCATAAAACATTCGATTTCACCGCCCGGTTGTGCCAAACAATGTCACCCGATTATGTGTATAGTACCCCTAAGAGGTAACCATAGGGAATGATAGAAACATTTATTTTTCTGACATTTCCTAAAGGCGAATGTAAAACATGATGATAATAATAATTTTATATTACGTAAATAAGGTACACAAGGAAAAATAAAAGAGCAGAAAATGTAATAGATTCATATAGAAAGAGGAGTCTTTAGCACATACATAACTTTAATATTAATAGTGAATTTTTTAAATATAGCATTATCAAAATTAAATAAGATCCCACTAAGCCCACTATTAACTATCAGGTGAATTATTGTTAAAGTACTGATTTAGAATTCATCCAACATAGAACTTCAATAACATCCCATGTTGTTAAAAGTAAAATGAAAGCAAAAAAAAATAATGAAAAAGAGTAGATTTGATTCCATAAAATTCAAAAATAAATAAATTAGAAACTAGAATCGTAGAACGGGCGAAGTGACGAAAAGATTATTTAAGCCAAGTATAGGTGTTAGTGCATTCAAGTCAAAATTTAGTGTTAGACAACTATGCAAAAACACAATTTCAACAAAACTATACTCACTCTGACTCGTCGAGAGGCGGCAGGTTCAGGGACGACATCTGTTCCTCCTCCTCCTCCAAAAGCTAAAGGAGGATAAAAATACGTCAAAATACGGTGCAAAGCAGCTACAGTGACATAACAAGGATCTAGCTTTGCAAACACAATTTAGATCCACCTTGGTCTAGTTTGCATTCTTCTTCTTAGTGTGGATGTTGAATCTAATGCTATATTAGATAGCGGTATAAAACTACATAACTTAAATATAGTGAAGACTACGTACTATAATTTCAAAGCATACAATGCACTTTATTTTTATCTGTAATGTTTTCTCCACATTCTATTGGCATTTGTAGATATTTTGAACTGAATCCATATACATTTTAATTCATATACATTTTCTAGAAAATTTATCGAACTTATGTGGCCAAATACGCTACTCAATTTTAAGATACAGTTAACTCTCGTGCTCTCTCCAACACTTTAAGCGTTAAGCCAAAGTGAGTGCGACGACGCGAGACATAACGACATGTTAAAATTGTGTAGTGTTTGAGTATTTATTATTATTTTTCTAATATTAAGTGCGTATATTATTTGTATATCAGTCCGAAATTGTGTTTACAAATTATATTAACATAGTTGGTTAACAATTTTACTAAAAGTACATTTATTAATACATGTCTATAAAAACAAAGTTCTTGTAATTTTTTTAATTGTATTCAATAAGGCACACTTAATACGTTTTTATTTATGTTGTGAATTCCATTGTGCCTATATGTAATTAAGGAAGCTACAGCTTGCTAATTTATCTGTCAATATTAAGTGCTCTGCGGTGGGGGAAGCGGTGAGTAAATCTAGAGCAACTTAGGGATATTTTTATTGTTACGTTCTTGGTTTTACCAAGAGAAAATCTTGTTATAATACTCGTAATAGTTATACTTGTGCCCTTGTGGCTTGAGTTAATATGTTTTATGCTCCCTATACGCATAACGTGTGCGCTACTGCACTACTTAGTCATATGTGTATATGCAAAGAATAAGACTGGAAGAGTGAGGGGAATGTTTGAGTTTAGAGTAATAACTTTTGTATTATAAATAATTATGGTATATGGATGTGGAGGAAGCGAGAGAGGCGTGTCAGGATCGTGCCAAATGGAAGTCTATAGCCTCTGCCTACCCTTCTGGGTAACAGGCGTGAGTGTATATGTTTATGTATGTAACTGTACAAAAATAAAACTGTGCTATTGTGAAACTGTTTACTTTTCACAGTAACCCAAAGATAGTTTTTAAAGAAGGGAAAAATAGACTGAAAGATTGTTCGTAGAATGAAAATAACGATCATGGGAAAGAGAAATTAACTAAAAGCGATTGTCTAATTGACACGATTACAAAATCCTGGGACGTGAGAATATTTACAAAGACAAAATATGAATTGTAAACACACATTTTCATTAAATTCTCTTATCTCCTATCCTTCAATTTAAAAAAAAAAACTAGTAATATCAAAAAAATTAAATATCGTACTGTGATGTGATAGAAACAGTAGGTCAGGTACTGAGAGCACATCCTTAATTTCACAGTTTTACCATACTCAGGCAATCTCAGTTCGACCCCCGGTGCCATCAATAAAATTGTAAATTCCAATTTTAAGTGTGGATATTACCACGAGCTTGACAATGAGGGTAGTATTGTGAGGAAATCTGCATAAAGTCCTTCAACACACATTAGAATAACAGTTTTCTGAAGTTATATAGGCTGTGATTCTGAAGAAATATGTATTACGTACCACAAGAGAAGCTGGGGATTGATCGTTTGCTACGTGTTAGAGCCCATGGGCTCGAATTTACTTAGTGTGTGCATTGAATAAAAATGTATTTACGGATTTTATCGCGTTTAATTAACTTATTTTTATTAAATATATATAAAACTGAGCTATAAAACTAACAAAATGAGCGTCGGTTTAGCGTGTTGCTACAGTGTAATTCTGTCTGTGTTGGGGGGTGGGGGGTGGGTTTGCAGTAAGTTCTGATGGTGGTGGGGCGTAGGCGGCACGTACCTGAGGGGCGGCAGCAGCGGCCACGGCGGCCAGGCCGGCGGCGGGGTGGTGCGCCAGCGCGGCGCCCAGCTTGAGCGCGTACACGCCCGCCAGCTTGCGCAGCGACTGCAGCCGCAACCGCAACTCGCCCAGTCTGACAACAACACCCTTTCTTTTGTAATCATACCCCCATACCGAACTGCAGTCACGGCGGGCGGCTTCAACGACTATGCGCACTCTCTGCTACTCCCTCACTCTTTTGTAATCAGTTGGAACGACAATTGTTTAACAGTCTAGGATAGTGGCTACTACAGCTATGTACACCTAGAATAAATTTCAAATAAAGAAGACTATGAAAAAAGGGATGCGTTGTTGCTTCGAAGGACTAACATGGAATTCTCTAAAGCTTTTAATAAATTTCTATACTCACTTCGCGATATAATCGTAAATGTTATTTCGACTTTAATGTAGAAATCAGTTTAACAGCATTTGCTGTTACCAGAAAGGTTCAAAGTTATAGCTAATACTCCAAGAGCTGGCGACACATTTTGAGCACGGATTTGACCTATCTAGTTTATGACTCAAAAATGTCGTTTACGAAAGTTGTATTCAGAATAGCTAGCCTGTTTGGCATTTACAGGTGGGGCAGATACTGCGCAAGGTAAAAGTAAATAATTTTTTTATCCGATATAATTATTTTCGGGATGAATTAATTTCATTTGAAGCTAATATTCCTGTATTACTTAGAAAAGCACCAATTTTATTAGATAAAATACACAGTATTCAACTATTTTTACTTCATTCATTATAACAAAAACATATAATAAAATTAGTATATTTCATTACGAGCGCGGAAAGCCTGTCATTACAAAGAGTTCCGACATATGACTACCCGAGCCAAGGCGCAGCCGAATGTGAGGGTTGACAGTCGGAACAAGTTATAATGACGGTTCCGCACGTGTACTGAACAACTATTTTTAATACGGTTGCGAAAAAATGAAGCAATTTAATAAAGAACATTTTTAGAAAATGGCGCCAACCGTAAAATAATATAAGCAGAGTTTTTTTGTTTTCTTCTCCCATTCTGGGTAGGCAAAGGGAACTATGCCCATACAGTCAAGTCTTCAGTAGAATTTTTTTATCGATATGAAATGAAAATTAATGAGATGAAATGAAATGAAACCTAACCTAACTTATTGAATCAAATCAATAAATCTGATATTGAAACAAATTAGTAACTTCTTTTTAGCAATATTTGCATGAATCATAAAAACTTCTATGAATTTTTTTTAGTTAAAACTTCGTGGTTGGTTTTTTCTTTTTAATAGACATTATTTTGACTGTGGGGAAAGAGAACGCACGTGTTCGGAAAAGGTAAAGAAAAAGCACGAGTATGTAATAGCCCACATCCCGAACGCTATACGTCCCTGCAATACGCCACTTTTTGAGCAACTGTATTAAAAAAAAATTATTACATTAAAAATTTAGAAGTAATACCCAATATTGTTACGTAGAGAAAATTTTGACTTCTTTAACAATTTGGTATTATCCTTATTTTCTTCTTACATTTTCATTAAAATATCCATATTAAAATGTATTTTCGATTTTTTCTAAAATTATTTAAAAAATTCATAGCGGTGTCATTTTTATTCCAAAAATATCATAACTGACAAGAGTCAAAAAGGTTAGTACAGAATACTCTGATTATAAGTTACATCGGATGCTTTCTTCGTCCATTCCTACAGCAATTATACTTATATATAAATTTTTCTTAAAAGTAGAAGAGAGAAGGATATATAACTTATAACCAGAGTCTACTGTACCTCTGGTCAAACCACGTGAACGCTCTAAGCCAATGAGAACGCAGCGTGAATGCTCTCGCTCTTATTCACTCTTTCCCGTCTTCGGTCTCGTTCTATTTTAAGGAATATTTTTTGGTTGTATGGCAATTTTTTCCACCACCGAAATGATTTGGCTTTTTGGGATTATTATTGTAAAAAAAATGAACTTGACACGCTATTAAATTTTCAGCGTGGTTCCGAGCATATAGATATTTCAAGAAGTATCAAGTGGATATTTTGTCAAGTTGGGCTGAGGTGACGTGGCTTAGTGGAGTGACATAATCGAGTTTTGTAGGCGCTCACCTGCGGCAGACGTCCTGCGAGTCGAGGCCCTGCAGCAGGCCGGCAGCGTCCCGCAGCGCCTGCACCCTGGGCTCGGCGCGCGCCAGCTCGTCGCGCAGCTCGCTGAAGCGCCGGAAGTCGCGCCGCAGCTCGTCCGCCGGCCGCCGCAGCCGCAGCGGCTCGCGCGCCCGCACACAGCGCTCGGCGCCCGACAGCTGGCTCACCAGCTCCACCACTGTTGGACACAACGCTCGCTATAGTACCAACACCTGGATATAGCACTCCTGTCCCTCGGAACCTTCAGATGGAGGAATACTTGTAATTATAAGCGAAAAGCTCCGAAGCCTAAATCACGCTATCAAAATTCCGAAGTACTGTGATATATACATAGAGCATTGGCCACTCTCCGAGCTAATTAACATGCTTGACGATAGATCTCCCCTTTTTCTTCCACATCCAAATACTTAATGAATAGTTAATATTTTTTATTTCTGCGATGATTGGACTTTTGAGTAACTTAAGACGAGAAGTGCTTTTCAAATTTGGTTAAACAGAACATTTTATATTATTACCCGAATCTTAGCTTATCAAATTTTAAGATTTAACTTCCTTTTTAACTTCCCGCTTTAATTGTCATAAAATTAATAATGTTCAAAAGTAAGAAGTTATAGATTTCAGTCCGATTTTGAGGATGCGAGTTTTCATCACATATCCACGTTTTGAGATCCTAGGAAGCCATTCCGATATCCTAGGAAGTCATTCCGATTATTCCCGCCTGGACGTCAAGCCGCGCGTATGTATGTATGTAAATAAAATTTTGTCGTACGATACAGTCGGCGGCGAGGCGCGCGCGCACTAGCAGAGTGCAGTGCACAGAGTAGTGTTCACACGCACACGCACACGCACACGTACCGATGTCGTGGAACTGCTGGTTGTGCACGAGCGCGCGCTGCAGCCGGCGCTGCCAGTCGGCGGCGCGCGCGCAGGCGGCGTCCCAGCGCGCGTTGGCGGCGGCGAGGCGCGCGCGCACTAGCAGAGTGCAGTGCACAGAGTAGTGTTCACACGCACACGCACACGCACACGTACCGATGTCGTGGAACTGCTGGTTGTGCACGAGCGCGCGCTGCAGCCGGCGCTGCCAGTCGGCGGCGCGCGCGCAGGCGGCGTCCCAGCGCGCGTTGGCGGCGGCGAGGCGCGCGCGCACTAGCAGAGTGCAGTGCACAGAGTAGTGTTCACACGCACACGCACACGCACACGTACCGATGTCGTGGAACTGCTGGTTGTGCACGAGCGCGCGCTGCAGCCGGCGCTGCCAGTCGGCGGCGCGCGCGCAGGCGGCGTCCCAGCGCGCGTTGGCGGCGGCGAGGCGCGCGCGCACTAGCAGAGTGCAGTGCACAGAGTAGTGTTCACACGCACACGCACACGCACACGTACCGATGTCGTGGAACTGCTGGTTGTGCACGAGCGCGCGCTGCAGCCGGCGCTGCCAGTCGGCGGCGCGCGCGCAGGCGGCGTCCCAGCGCGCGTTGGCGGCGGCGAGGCGCGCGCGCACTAGCAGAGTGCAGTGCACAGAGTAGTGTTCACACGCACACGCACACGCACACGTACCGATGTCGTGGAACTGCTGGTTGTGCACGAGCGCGCGCTGCAGCCGGCGCTGCCAGTCGGCGGCGCGCGCGCAGGCGGCGTCCCAGCGCGCGTTGGCGGCGGCGAGGCGCGCGCGCACTAGCAGAGTGCAGTGCACAGAGTAGTGTTCACACGCACACGCACACGCACACGTACCGATGTCGTGGAACTGCTGGTTGTGCACGAGCGCGCGCTGCAGCCGGCGCTGCCAGTCGGCGGCGCGCGCGCAGGCGGCGTCCCAGCGCGCGTTGGCGGCGGCGAGGCGCGCGCGCACTAGCAGAGTGCAGTGCACAGAGTAGTGTTCACACGCACACGCACACGCACACGTACCGATGTCGTGGAACTGCTGGTTGTGCACGAGCGCGCGCTGCAGCCGGCGCTGCCAGTCGGCGGCGCGCGCGCAGGCGGCGTCCCAGCGCGCGTTGGCGGCGGCGAGGCGGGCGCGCGCGCGCTCCCCGGCGGCGGCGGAGCGCGCGTGGCGTGCCACGTGCGCGCCCACCACGTTCAGCGACACCACCAGCGCCTTGTGCGAGTCCAGGTCCAGCAGGAATTCGCGGTGGTCCTGCGCACACACGATACCGATCACACCTTTTCTTTATACAACAAGGATTTATACGCGGTAGAACCACGCTGCAGCTATATATTATGGTTGTGCCACGAATGGGTTGACTTGACCGGGAAAAGACGACACTCTCACAGAAAACGTCATCCTCTCTGTGCAGAGATGGGAGAGATGGCTGACAGAAGTTCCCTTTAACTGCCTTGGCGAGAGACCAGAATGCACGTGCTCCGAAAGGAAAACGAACTAGTTTCTCGCCTATTCTGCCAATGTGCTCTGACTTTGCTTCGACAATGACACTTTGAAGGTCCTGGAGGCGGAATTATACTTCTTTTTGAAAGTGCTGGGATTTGCATCCCGAGACGTAGAGCGATGCGTGAGCCCAGGCCTGGTAGCACTCTTGCTTATGGCGTAATGCAATTTTGCAGGAGCAACCAAACCATGGCTGGGTTCTGCCTCCGATAGATATCACAGATGATGGAATTAATAGTTCCATTCCCTGTAGCACCACATCAGCGATAGAATCAGCAACAACGCTGGGATCATCCGGCTAGAAGCAAACCCGCCTCCAAGGGTAGGATGCAAAACAAGATCACATCCCGTCCCAATCAGGTGACCTATAATGCCAAACACGACGGCAACCTGCAGAACGCAACCGCGATGGGAGCGTGAGTGGCACCGTACTCTGGATCAGCCTATGGTCCGAGGAGCCAAGACGGGCATCGACGGAGACCTGATATCCGATCAGATGAGAGGCCAGTAGAAGGTCCAACAGGGAAGGTACACGATCTTCCACATCTGGGATAAGCGAGGTAACCAGTTGTGTCAAACCATATGCCAAAGCAAAGTCATAAACAGATCTACCCGCATGATCGGTTAAACGAGAACTAAGCCATTCAGCGTGGCGGGCGTTAAAATCACCAAGCATCACGATCTCTGCAGATGGGACCTGTTGTAGCACGGAATCTGCAGCCATTTGGACATGGATGATGAGTCGGTCTGTGTCGGCATTGCCGCTATGGAACTTATAGAGGCACCCGTAGACGCGGGGATGGTCGTCTCTGTCTACGCGCAACCATAAGATGTACAGGTCCGTATCTTCAAAGCTGCCGAGGCGTCGAAAACAGATGTCCTCTCTGACGTACACGCAGCCCGGAGCACAAAGAAGTGTTCCAATCTGTACCCCGGGTAGGAGAGATACGAAGTATTAGCTGAAGAGGACACCTGTGCCTCGGTTAGAAAGAGCAAGACCGGCTTCGCCGTTTCCAAACGGTAGTGGACGGCGTTAAGGTTTGAATGAAGTCCCCTGAAGTTGAACGCTCAGGAAGAGTAGGGTAGCTTGAGCGTAGATGCTCAGCGAGGGATTCTCCGTCACTGGGGGTGCTGGTACTCTCCTGGGGTAGTATATTATTTAAATCCGCTACCATGTAAAGGAGGGGGGGGATTGGGAATTGGGCCTCCGGCCACCTGCACTCACCAGACGAAATGCAGAAGCAAAACTTCTACTTCACGCTGGTCTTTTGTGAGGTCGTGGTACCACCCCGGTTTAAGCCGGCAGCCTTTGCTGTTGCTCATGCGTGCAACAGCAAAGGCTGCCGCGTGGCTCTACCACTGTTAATTGCAACGTAACCCTATCACCTACAACCTGCCATAATATACCCGCCTCTTATAAAATCACAACTAATTATATCGTATCCTATATATTGCGGTATATATACTCGTATCGTATTAACAAAGTAGATTTAATTAGACCAAAAAGATTTTTAATACATAATATAATTTTAAAGTTACATGGGAGCCGTGCTGAAAGCGTTTTGCTAGCACGGCCACTTATGATTGCATTTTTACCTATATAAATGTAAATTTGTATTTAAAAAGAAAGCGATAAAAATACTCCTAGAAAGAAGCACATTGAACTACTGAACGCCTCAAATGCTTATTATTATTACTTCCAGGAGTACTTAAAAATGCATAAAATGAAAATTATCAATTTCTCTTTAATGACAAATAAAACAAATTATCATTCACTTTATGACAGACAGAAAAAGTCAGAATACTACAGACATTGACATTTCATTTCTCAAACACATTTGAAACTTGAGAGGATATACAGGATTCTATAGGTTTTTGTGACCTAGCAAAAGCGTTCGATTGCAAAATTCATAATACAATATCAAATAAATTAATAAATTATGATGTTCAATAACTCAGTTAACCTAATAAAATCATGTCTACCTGCTGACCGTTTACAAAAGGTAGTTATTGATGAAACTAAGTCTTCTGGAGCAAACCTTAATTATAGGCGTGTCCCAAGGTTCAATATTGGGACCATCCTTTTTTACGTTAAAAACTTATTTAAAACAATTTTCTTAGCTGAAGTTAGCTAAAATAGTAAAATTGCTAGTTTTCTCTAGTTAGATATGCTGCATATATCGAGAAACATAATACACAAAAATAAATTAATCAAAAATAATATGAATCTAAAAATTGCTCAATAATCCTCACCTGTATAGCGTCTTCTAAAGCGTCGTATTGTTCTGGGGGATCGGTTCTAGCTTCGTCAGTAGCTTCAGCGAATTGCAACCATTGCTCCAGCCGCCATAAATCATTGTCCAGCTGTTTCCAGTTGCGGTCCGAGCACAAGGGACACGTCAACCGACCGGATTCACTGCGGGTTGTAAGCCATATTAGTATGGTCAAGCGTTTGGAGGTTATTGAATGTTATAAACTAAATACGTGATGGTCTATTTAATGAGAAATGACAAAGATATTAGTTTTGAGAGGGTTTTTACTCTGTGTCACATTTTTGTTGAAAATCTACTGTTACGAGTAAGCGTATTTTGCATCTTAAATATCCAGCACAAACTAGGAGCACTTAAATAATTATATATGGCATACAGATAATTATATATGACTTAAGACAGGGATGCGGGGTCACTCATACAAAATGCTCCGAAATTAGTAAAATAATGTTTCTCAGGTATTAGTTTAAATTTAACTCTTAACCTTCCGTGAGATTTGATCCAAGATATTTATCAAACTTTGTCATTTCTTGGAATCAATGTTCTCTAAAAAAATTACTTAAAAATTAGTAACAAATATCTTCATTTGCGTTAAATTCTCCAGGATAATATAAGGGTCACAATTATATTTAAGCGTAGATACTAAACTTATTATCATTAGATGCAAGCTCAAAAATACGTAACTAATAAAAAACTACTAATTAACAACACAAAAACCATGCACTGCTTCACTACCTCTACAACATTTAAATATTTTAAACTCTCTGTCAAAATTTAATCCTAAAAAACCAAACAGACAACAAAACATGTAATTTGGTTATGTATAGATTTCAATAAAATTGTCATAAGGGTACATAATTTTGACAGTTAGTTTTTCATACTCTGTGCATCAATAACACACCGAACTAGTGTAGAAAATATATGGCGATTAATAAAATATTAGAAAGCTGTACTCACTGTTCGCACGTGAGAGCGTATGACGCTGAGTGGGGCAACCTATAGGACCAGAAAACGCATGTGTTTAATTTTTAGAGCATGCCAGGTTAAAAAGCTTGTTAAACACTATTTGATATATTTAAGTATTTTATCTATGTTGCTACTGACGATTAATATTAATGTGAAACTAAACAACCAATTGCAAAACTGAATTTTCCCGAATAAATATAGAAAATAATTTTTGTGACACACTCCTCTAAAAGATAATAAAATAATTATATACTATTCCTGCTTAATTTTTTATTAGTAAAGTACATTAAGGAAGATTTTAACAGAAGTTACAAATCTGTTGTTAAACCACAAAAATATATATTTTAATTATATTTTTATTTATATACAATTTCCAAATTTTATGTATGTCCATTAATAAAATAATATACATTTTTTTAATAATTTTATATTTATAACAGTTTATCAATTTCCAATTAAAAACAAAATAATCAATTTTTGATCACGTATTAAAAAAAAAGCCCCTCCACCAAAATCCAAAGTGCTAGTGCTACGAACATACATAATGTCAGATTACAAAAAGGAAGAGACGCTATTATATATTATATTATTATGATACGTAAAGAAGTCTGAACACTTAGTGCTTACGCATCTGCATGTGTAAGAAACAACGATTTTTATTAAATAATCTTTGTTTCTTAAAACTTTAATAACTTTACATTAAATGAAGATATCGCAATATTTTTTTTTTACACAAGGGCCAAGTGTCTAAGATATAAAAATTAGAAAACCCAATTGAAATATATCCAGTAGTATGTCCGTGATGCGCGCACAATAATTGCAAACCTCTATCATTTTATTTATATAAATTTGAAATATTTATTTTATAACCCTGGATTTATTACAAAAAGTGGTTTAAACTAAAATCTGTATCACGAAAGAAGTTTCATTGTAAAGGCTGGCGCTGCGTCCAAAGAACTTCGTTAGTTAGAAGGACTACTCTTCGGTGGCGAAGCCTCCATAGAAGCCGAGAAGCCGGGTTTGCCCTATCAAACTGCTCAATCAATAATATCAACTAATAAAATAACTCGTAAACTGTTTCAAACTATTTCAAATTACCGGCGCGCTCCTCTGTTCTACGCAGGTCATTAATCGTCGCGGCACAACCACATGAGTAATGAAACCGACCGATCTTTACTCTGTGGCAAAACTGTGCGATACTGCTGTCATAAAAAAGGAGTTGAGTTGAGCGATTAGTTGTCTCTCTCGCACGCGTGGGCTTTTTAACGGGCTTTCGAGAAGACGATCGCTCCCTTTCTAACCTGTGGCAAAATGTTCTATAATGAAATATAACTACGATTGTTTATATAGCAATTAGTATGGAGCTATTAAGCTAGGCTTTTGTTTTGAAGTTAGGGGCGCTTGGGTGATGAATCATCATCGTATCAGATACATTTGCAAGTTCACTTCACATTTCAATGTTTACTCTGTGTGTTTACTTGAGCGAACGAATATTGCGAGTTGAAAATTTATGTTTATTTAAAGATTTTTAGTTAAAATAGAGGATAATAGTGTTCCTTGTGATGAATTGAAGTGTGCTAAAGTACTAATCGGCGAGGAAACAACTTTAAACTTTGTTGAGAAATATATATGCATATGTTTTCACCAACGACGTAGTTAAATCTTTCCTTACGAAAGAGAGACGATTCAATTGAGAATATAAATAATTTGTTTTTAAAATTTTGTACATAGTTTGTTTGTACTTTGTTCATGATTTTCTTTTGTTTATGTATTGTATTGTATGTAAATATCTTTTTCTTTCGCTCAAGCAAACCCAAACGGCTTTTTTCAAAGCCACCGAAGGTATGCAATTGCTGATATGTCATACAATCTATCTAGCAGTAGTATGCCTTCTGTGTGCTTTGTTAAACACGTCCTCGACAGCACTGAATATGAAACTGAAGAGGGGGAGACAGCTCAAGATTGGTGTATTTTTATAAAACTGCTAAAAACAACAAAACCATATTTTGGGCTTGCCCTAGTTTGGAGCCCTAGCTTCGCCACTGCTACTCTTAAACCACAGTTTAAACTCGAGATTGTCAATAATCCATTTAATGTAATAAGGCGGATGGGCTCCAACTCCAAAAACGTACTAATCGAGGTATCATAACTACATACTTGCAAAATGAAATTTACTTTGTGTAATGTATATACATGGAAAATATTTACAGCGTTTTAAACATCGAATTTCACTAGTTAGGTTTATTTAAAATCAATTATGTACAAGGTATATATTTCACGTCTTTGAAAGGTAGCGAAAAATGCTATAAAAATTCGGATAATTGTTCAAAATCTGTGTGGATTTATTTCCTTTCGATGTTGATCAAGCGAAAGCATTAACAATTAAACAGTGTGCGTGTAGAACAGATATAAACAGACGTGTGCTTTGGTGTATTTTTAAATACGAAATAGCATCTCTTTCTTTTGTGTAATCTGCGTGTAAAACAATACGATGCAGTAGACTGTAACAAACATTCGTGTAGTAGAAAAAAAATCGTTCTACCCACCTCAAATTGTTGATCTGCAGTTCGCGTTTCTTCGCTTGGGTCAGGAGGTCCTCATATCTCATGGAGAGTGACTCAACTTCTTTAAGCATTGCCTCTTCCTCTGTCGCGTCACATTCCGTCAGGAGTAACTCGGACAAATGTTTGGCCAACTCCAGAGTTTGTCCGGGTTTAGCGCCGGCTTTAGCTATTTCTTTAGCGGCAGTAGCCAGTTCATCACCACTAGCATTGTCTTTAAGTTCGTGCATCAAAGCCGTTCTAAGTGCTTCTAGTGACTCTGATGTTTCTTTTACAGCGGCAGCTAGTTCAACGCGGTATGTCTCTTTGGATGTCAATGTGTCCACTTGGAGAGCCGCGTCTGTTTCCCATTTAAGTGTATCAACCTGTGATAGAGAATAAAAATACATTATTACGATGAAATATTGGAATCTAAAGTAGCGTGACATTCTTAACCTCTGAAACTGAACTGAAGCCCTAGGAGCCCTGGGTAACTAAGGCTGGATAGTAGGAAACAAGTAGTAGTTGTACAAGTGACTTCCTTTATGTAACTATAATATCTCCTACAATATCATACGGATGACAGCGACATAAAGGAAGGTGAGGTTAAGAATGCAGTAATTGAGAGCATCAACAACTGCCACCAGGGTGGCGCCACTTTGGAAGTTAAATTGTAAGAAATGGGTAATGATTAATGTTTCTTACTTAGACATTATTTCTATTATGCATTAATACGATAAGAAATGTACAAACAAAACTACGGATATGACTAAGAGTAGAAGAATTAATAAAAAGAGTTCAAAATGTGTAAAAAATCAAAGAACACTCTACTGAGAATTTGTTTTGTGTACATACATATTCTAGAAACCGAAAATCTTTAACTTAAAACGCAACTTACCATTGAGATGTCACTGTGCGACCATCTGTCTGACAAATAAGTTCACCTGTCCCAACTAGCGACATCTGGTGAGCGAAAGATTATTAGCGCGAATGATCATTAACTCTCATTGAAGCCCTGTTAGCGTTGGGACAAGGGTTTGGTCGTGACTGCGTAAGTTGCGTTTCGACTCTTATGGGAAAATAATTTTTAAGGCCTATAAATAAGTGTTTCAGTGTGTTTGTCTACGTGCAATTTGTTTTTTAAACACTTCCACGACACAAAGAAATTCCTACAGTGGGGGTCAAGTTTTTATATATAAAATTAAAAATAGATAATCAATAACCTGGACGGCGGTATCGACGTCGGCGACTATGGATTGGCGAGCAAGTTGCAGCCGTGTGGTGACGTCAGCGAGCAGCGTACGGTACTCGCTGGCAAGTGCGTCCGTTCCTCCCACTCCTCCTAATGCAGCTTCTAGTCTATCAGCCTCTTTCACCAAGGCCTCGCATTCGCGGACTTCTTGCTCAACGCCCTGTATCAAAGAGGATCGAAATTAAATCTCTGTTTGGAATTTTAAAATATTTTTATATTTATGAAAGTGATAATTTCATTTCACTGGATTCTCCAGGAAATCTTTCACTGTTCAGGCTACTCTAGTCTGTAATTCCTTACCCGAACACATACGAAAAGTCCCAAGCATATGCTAGTTCAAGAGAATAATTCGTGAACACCTTTTAAAATAAGACATTGTTTCATGATATTAATGATTTTATGTTATGTCATATGCATTATATGATATGTATGTATGTATATGTAAAAATGTTTACATAATATAATTATATATATTAGATAGTTTGTATTAAGAAATATATTTAGAGATCATAAACTGCGACAGGCATTAAGTCCGCCCATTGTTACCTTAGTTTTAAGGTGTTACAATAATTAATAAATAAATAATCGTGCTAACATATGTGCATGAAGTTAGTTGGAAGTGATTACTGCATAGCACCTTCAACCAACTTCATGCACAGAAGGGTATAGCTACATCTACAAACTGAAATACAATATATGTGTGATCGCGATTGCACCTTATAAGTTTGTGATAACGTCCGTATTCTCCATACAACAAGAGAACCCCATCTCCAACAGTGGATTATTATGTAATTGCCACACACAGGCGAATTATGATCGCAAGCACGATTCTAGGAAAATGAACTGTCAGTAGTGAACAGGCCTCTCCCATTTGAGATTTTATTTTACTCCAATAGTGTTTTTCGTAAACATTTAATGTTACTTAAATTATTAAGTAAGTGTATTTACACCTTCCTATCGCATATTGCTTCTCTGTTTGAATAACGTAAACATTAAAACAACAAACAAGTCTTCTATTTAAAATATAAATTAAGTGAACAAACTGAACATTTTGATAAAAAGTACAAAAAATACTTACATCCAATTCTTTAAAGGTTGCCTCCAGATCTAATGGAGTTGGAGCTAGATGTAAGGCTCTAGTAAGACGTACATCAGCCTCAGCCAATGCGACAACTGCTTTTCCGTGTGCTGCCACAAACTGCCGTTGTAAGTCAGTGCCTACCGCGTTAACACGCACCCTTAGTTGTTGCCAGCGGCGAACAGCCGCTCTTAAACGGCCAGTATGATCTGCCCCTTCTCCCCGCATCTCTATACCACGAGCAGATGCTATACGGCTATATGCATCTTCTAAACGCTTTACGTCTTCCTCGAGTGCGTCTAAATCTTTTATAACAGCCTTTGAAACACTATCGTCATCAGATTCACCACGTTGCTTTCGTATTTCAACTTTCTCCACTCTTTTTTCAATCGAATCCAGTTTCTTATCTACTTTTGGAAGGAGAGAGTTTGCTAGTTCAGCCGACTTGCGGATTTCCTTCAGAGCATTCTTGCGCTGTTCGGACATCTCGCAAATGTTTTTCCATTTCTTGTCGACTATATCAACGCCGGTACGCAGATTTCGTAAATCGAAGTTTCCTTTGAGAACATCGGGATCATTAAAAACAAGTTCACAGAGGTTCAGAGTTTCACCGACCTCGCTGCTTTCATCCTCAATGTTCTTGTGTATTTCGTCACGATCTTGGAATTTCTCATCAACGGCTTTTGTCGTCAGATGTTCGATGACGACTGACGCTGAGAGTTTAGATTCTATGGAGTGTAGTTTTAGTCTTATTTCCGTTAAACGCTCCTCCAGTTGTGAAATAGTTTCAAGAAGTTCGTTTATCTTAGCGATTCTACTACGGCCTGTCTCTTGTAGCTTCTGCCAACGTTCCTGTACGTCTTTCAGTTGTTTAGAGGTGTTTTTGCTGTAGGATTTTTCGTCTTTCTTAGACATATCGATTAGAGAGCTGCCTGTCTGAGCTAGCCACTCATATTCGCGTTCTTTAAGAGCAGTCTCTGCTTGGATTTCCGAATTAATTCTTCTAATAAGGTCTTGAGGGTCTAATGCGCTCACTTCACTGCTTGAGCTGGAACTTTCAAGTCGTGATTCGAGTGTTGTCATCCATTCTGAGAATCTTGATATCCTTGAATCGAATATCGTGTAGATTTCTAACCTCTCTTGAAGCCTGTGTATTATAATAGATAACTGATGCTCTAAGTCTGCTCGTTGTTGTCGCATCTGCCAGACTTTTTGGTTTACGATTCTTATATCCTGAGGACTCAGACACTCCTTTAATTGTTCTTGGATGACACTGAGAGCTTCTATTTGATTTTCAGTCTTATCAATTTTCTTTCTCAACTCTGAGTATTTTTCAATTGCTTTTTTGATTTGCGGTCGCGACAAACGATCCTCGTCAGAGTAAGACATGACTTCATCCTGCGTTCTTGAGTAAAGTTTATGTAAATTACCAGTCAAACTTTCGTATTCACCGATAAGTCCCAGTATTCGAGTCAAGAAATCACGCCATGTGTCAAGACTAGCTTGCAAATTGTCAACTCTCTTCACTATTCCAGCGTATTCCATCCTCACCGACGCTCCATATGTTTCCTCTGTGAAGGCTAACACTCTCTTCAGGTATACTGACAATTTATCCGCAAACTTACGGCCTTCGGGTAGCTTGTCATAGAGATTCTGTATCTTTGATAGTATTTTGTGTATTCTCTTTATGTGAACGTATCTAAGTTGCAACTTTTCCTTCTCTCTTTCCATTTCTTTCAACCAACGTAGGAGCTCTGTGTAAATTTCTCTGTAGTCGTCCCAGGCGGCAATCCTGGTACATACTTCATCGTGTCTTTCCACGATCCTCGCGAGTGTTTCATTATGAAGATTTGTAAGTGTGTCAAATTTGTCTGCTAAATCTCTATTATTTGTTTCCTTGTTCTCGTTCATAAGGACTGATCTTTGCGAGGCTAACAAGTTCCTGTGAACACGACACAACCTGCGATGTTCTGTCAAGTTTTCATAATCGGCTGGTAAGGAGCCAGAGAGGAAGGATTGAAGGTCTAGTAAGTATTCGTGCCACAATTTAAAAGCCGTGGCAGCATCTCCCGACCTGACTAGAGCAGTGGATAAACGGTGGTAATGTAAGAACGTATCTCTGAACATGGCCTGCCATAATTCTAGTATTCTAACTATAGAATGCTCCTCAGAAACGTCTCTGTCGATATCAGGTAGTTGTGCTTTAGCGGGAGCTATATCTGCCTCGCTCTTTCCAAGAGCAATCAAATTATCTCGAAGGGAGATCAATTTGTGTTCTACTATTTCACCATCTTCTTCTACTGGAGCCAAATCCTGTAATAACAAGGAAACATAAAGAGATTATAGATTTTATAAAAAAATTAAAGTTTCCCTTAAATTTTATAAAAAATAAATTCAGCTAGAAGGGATGGTATTCACTTCATACTTTTTTTAGGGTGATATTGTTAGTGGCATTTCATTCAAGATAATTTAAATTTGGCTATTTTTTTTTTCAATTAATTTTGAAGTAACATTCATATTATTTGAAAGTTGTTCTGCAAAAAGCTGACAAAAATTTTACACCGCTATACAGTACTAAAATTAAATGCTAACCGCCATCCTTTTGCGGTGTAAATTATACGTGACCGGATTTAAATAAATGAAATAAGCGAACGTTACAGCAGCTCATTTATAATTCATAAGAATAGAGCGATATTGTGCCAGATGTATGTATGAACTACGTTTGTCTCAGACTCGTAAAGAACTCTCGTTCTCGTAATAGATTTTAATTCACTAACAGTCAGTTTTTCAATCATCAAATAAACATTATTGATAGAATAAAATAAAACAAAAAAAAATACAGTTGTATTAATAAAAATAGTTTGACTTTTATATTCGTGACTTTTACCGTTATATATATATATATCCTGATGGTAAGTGGTTGCTATAGCCCATAGACATCTACATCTATCTTCGTTTGCGAATTAAAATGCAGATGTGTTGTCAGCCGTGAGGACTAAGATAGAATGCCTCTTTTCCAGTAAAAAAGGGTCTCCGGTTCTCTACACTTACCATACGAAACACAGCAGCATTAAGCTGCTATTTTATGCTGGTATTCTGTGAGAGCGTGGTCCTTCCCCGGTCGAGCCGACCCATTCGTGCTACAAATATACTACATATATATATATATATATATATATATATATGTGTAGTATATATATATATATATATATATATATATATATATATATATATATATATATATATATATATATATATACTACTGGCTTCTCTAGTACGTAGTACATATAACTCAATGATGACACCTTAATTTCTTTGTTGTCTGTACGTACCGTCTGACCTTTTATCGTCAATCAATGCAAGGGCATGCCAATTTTGTCTCTCTTTACATTATTTATCGTGTTATAATTGTATATTTTTAACTGCTGTATAAACATTGATATGATAATTTAAACACATTATTTTTTTGGAAATACATCTTATTTATCTTTTTATTATTTAATCTAATTTTATTATTATTATTATTTTGGTTTATTTTATCTGAACACTTCATAAATATAAATAATTGTCCAATATTCGCCGTGTAGTATATTATTATGATTGTAGCAATAATGGGTCGGCTCGACAGGGGAAAGACCACGCTCTCACAGATTACCAGCGTAAGATAGCATCATAATGCTGCTGTGTTTGTGGTGAGTGTAGAGAACCGGGGAGCCTTTTTACTGGAACAGAGGCATTCCACCTCAGTCCTCAAGGGCGACAACGCATCACGTTTCATCAACGTTTTTTTAATCGAGGATACATGGGCCACATCATACACCAACCACCAGGTGAACTGTGTGCTCGGTTGTCATCATAATTCTATAAAAAAAATCATCATCATTCTTATCGAAATTTCGCGGTTTATGGATTTATTTTTAAAGACCTAACCATTAACACCTAGAAATAGTGACAAAACATTTTAGCATTGACTTTTTAAACTTATTTATTTGATAATTATGCATACACCCACGAATAGTAGTAACTTGAACTAAATTTAATTATTTTATTTACATCTTTACTAACCTGTCTCATATCGCAAAGTTTATCTTTTGCGTTTTGGGCTTTAGCTCTTGCAAGCTGTCGTGCTTCGCCTAGGTCTGCCAGGGCCTGAACAGCACCAGCCACCAACTGTAGCCTCCTGGCTAGGGCGTCGGCATCCGCTTGCAGCGCCCGAGATCCAGTCTCTGCTGCCACCTGAGCAGCAAGCGAACGTAGCTCGGCTACTCTCGCTTCTTGCTCTAGACATGCCTGGACGGACAAAAAAAAATAGAAAAAGTTAATATTTGAAATAATTTTACAGTTTCTACAATTGTTAATAATGAAAGGGTACGCGGTTCATATTAAAGTGCATTTAGAGTCTTAATATAATACACATGTAGTGCAAGTAATACAGGTATCCATTCTCCATTCTATTACAACATATGAAAGTCTTTTCTGCCGACTCCCAAAAAGGAGACGGTACTCAATTCGACTGTATGTTTTTTTATGTGTGTTACCTCATAACTTTTTACTGAGTGTAACGATTTGGATGATTCTTTTTTTATTTGAAATCTGGTACTTCTCGTGTGGTCCCATATGTAATTTGATCATAGTCAAACCAACAGTTTTTGAGTTATTCTTAATAACTCATATTGAAGTCGGCTGTACAAAATTTTAAATTCTAAATTATGCTGAACATAGGCCTCCCCCATTGATAGAGCCTCATAGGGGAGATTTTGCGATAGTTTAATTGAGTTATTATCAAAAAGATGCTCTTAATACAGGCACAATACATAGTTTATTAAACATATACGTAAGAGCCCTGGTAGCTCAGGGGCTAATGTTAGGCGTAAATAGCACAGTAGTAATTGTTAATTAATTGTTAATTGTTAATTAAGTGCTGATTCACCACAACAACACATCATCAGAATCACCGGTAAACATCGTGAGGAAACCTACATGACACTACACGGCTCAAAGGTTATCATAACATGGTATTGATTTGCGATATTGTTAACAACAACAGTTCACGTGTCTATTTATACTTGACTAATAGTCAAAATGGTGATGCTTCATTAAAATGATTTTCAGTCGTCACAATTCACTATAAAACGTTCAGTGGTATCTCAATTTCACATTTTGCGTCAAGTTTGAGTAACCCTTGCGACGACAATGAACCTACAAATTAATATTATTTCACCAATCTATTTGAATTAATCAGTTTATTACCATTTTAATAGTTTATTACATCAACGTTCCGCGACCAACAATACTGATTATTATCCTTCCTTAACACATAAATATGTTCGAAATTAATAAATATTTAAACAAAGTATTATTTACGTAATATTTCATTTCCAGACTCTTGGTTTGAAATTAACACGTGGTGGAGCCATGCTGCGGCTATATTAGTAGTATAGTTGTAGCACTAATGGGTCGGATCGACCGGGGAAGGACCACGCTCTCGCAGAACACCAACGTAAAATAGCAGCTTAACACTGCTGTGTTTCGTATGGTGAGTGTAGAGAACCGGAGGACCATTTTTACTGGAAAAGAGGCATTCCATCTTAGTCCTCACGGGTGACAACGCATCTGAATTTTGATTCGCAAGCGAGGATAGATGTAGATGTCTACCAGCCACAGCAATCACTTACCATCAGGTGGACTGTGTGCTCGTTTGTCACCCTATCCTATAAAAAATCCTCCAGGTTGTAGCTCCTGCACAACTCTGTGACCTCTGTGGATTACGATGGAATGCCTCACAGCTGGTAATGCAAAAAAAAGTTTATAATTATTCTGGAATTAATTAGAATAAGCCGTAACCTATGAACCTACATAAGTTTTAGATTTGTAAATAAATGAGGACACTAAATTAATTCGTCGTCGCACTTTCTCCCTTTCACTACAATTTTGGACCAACAACGAGAAAGTGTCCTTGCAGTTAGTTGCCATACCAATATTTTATTTTATATGATCCTAAAAATGATTTTGCCATAGTTGCCACTTTTGGCAGGCAGGTTAGCAACTGCAGTTTTTTTATTATTTTAAGTTGTGTCAGGAATATGCTGCTGCCCATCTCACGGTATGTTTCCCTCGGTCGCTTCTCACGACACCCACACGACGAAATGGCGGTGATGAATTCTTAGACGATGCCACCAAACTGAATGTGTCATCTATGACCGTTTTTATTTTTAACTAGCTGGTACACGGCGCGGTACTGGCGCAGAAGAAATAATTGTGAAAATGTGGTTTTAAATTTGGAACAGTTATATTGTTTAATTAGGTAAAATAATACATTCATTTAATGATATATTACTTCCAAATAAATTTGGCTGTGCGATACACCCGCCACCTACTCTAAGTTAATCGTAATATGCCCTTATAACCCTATGCCTATAACCTTCGCGCAAGTCCAAGTAATCTGATGAACGGGATGGCAGCGCATAAAATACGAACAAACAAACATATGTAAATATATTAAAATCTGTTTAGCTATGTGTGTACGTTTAGATAACAAGCTACCAAATAATCTTAAATTGTTAAATACAAGACTTTATAAAAAAAATTACAGGCATACCTACCTAAATAAAAATAATTTCTACAGCATTATAGACTTTATCATAAGTCGTAATGTACAAAAACAATAACTTTTGCATGCTAGCAAATCATGTTGTTCGATATATACAATCTTAGTAAAATATTTTTCATGCTATGTTTTATGCAAATAAATATATAACTATTATTATTATCACTAAAACATCATATATATAGCCTCTAGTTGCCACTGTTGGACATAGGTCCTTACGAGAATGAATGAACGTCCATGTATTCCCACACAACATACATGATCAGTTTATCCTCACCAATCCCAGGCCGTACGGTGAGCATAAACCGTACCACCCAGCGTAGAGGAGGCACATTGGTGAAAATGATTAAGTAGTCAAATTACCAGTGCGACGTGGTTTATTACCCCACTGCTTCAAAAGGAGGGTAATTTTTTTCGAAAGTAAGTATGTATGTATATGTATTATTATGCATATTTTGGCACGATCTGTAGCCTATGCGGCTTGATGAATTTTAACGTATGGGGGTCGTTAGGTTGGTATCAATTGTGGGAGTAACATAAGCTATATAATTTTTTTTTAAATGAGAGGGAAGGAACGTTTTTTTTATAGGCAGCCGGGTTTTTTAAACTACTGTTTATAACCATTCTGCTCGTTAATCTGTAGAATTGGGATTGAGGCTTGAATTTGGAGAAATGTAGTAAGTACCTACCTATATATTCTCCCTCCACCGTTTACATTTTAATTATATTTAACTAGTTTACTTCGTTGCCACTTTAAAGTGGAGACCGATACCAATGCGAATGTTAATTAAAATATAATTAGTAACCACAAACAAATAACTAATGAACTAATAGGTGGCACAAAAACAGGATGTAGGTACTTTTAGATAAAACGGCACGGATCAGATATAAAAATATATTAAAATGTCAGTATGTGCTGTTTGAATGTTTTAACGCATGTGTTGTATTCTGTTATCATGATTCTATATTATCTTGTACTGTAATTATTATCTTATATTTATTCATATATATTTAGTACTAGCTGTTCCCCGCGACTTCGCTCGCGTGTTATTTGGGCTTTTTATTTTTTTTCGCGGAACCCCAATTACTTTGCTAAAATAAAAGTGAAAATCCCGTCAAAATCGGTCCAGCCGTTTCGGAGATTAACCGGAACAAACAGACAGATAGACAGACAAAAACTTTAAAAATTGTATTATTGTTATTCGTACCGTATATACTTTCATATTCATTTAGTAAAAATGCTGTAATTTTGACATCACAAACAGACACTTCAATTATATTTATTTGTATAGATGTTTTTCACTATCATCACAAAATAATTTAAACATTAAATACTGTATAGTGTTAATGCCTTTAATTATTTTTATAACACTGTAGCGACGGTAGACGGCTCCGCGGCGCAGTGGCTTAGCAATGAGCTGTTGCGCTGGGGGCCGCGGGTTCGAATCCCGCACGGAACAAGTATTTGTATGGCCTACAAATAATTGTTCCGGGTCTGGATATTTGTCCTCGTGCAATTTATGTTTGTAAACTGCCTCCACGACACAGGAGAAAACTCTAGTGTGGGGGTAACGTTTAAAAAAACTGACAACACTACAGTCCACCTGATCGTAAATAAATGGCAACTGCAGCCCTTGGACATCTGCAGCTAAATTCATCCAAACAAAGCTACAGATAAATCGTTATCTCTGAGGACTAAGATGGAATGCTTCACCGCCTGCAATTATACTGGGTCCATATACCCATCACACAAGAACACAGCAGTGCAGGAACTGCTATTTGATGGCAGAAATAGATAAGACTTACTGGTAGTACTAACTTGGTATTTGCGTTTACAACCAAACACCACAGTATAGCTAATATGTACGTTTTAATTAATATAAATTGATTAGTTACATTCTTTGTAAATGTCAAAGATCTCTCCTTGAATATTCTCATTTTGTTTAAAACAATAGCTATTGTAAAAAGCGAAATTATTATTTATTAGCTGGTACCCGTCGCGTTGCTGCCACAGTAGAAATAAACTGTGGAAATATCGTTTTAAATTTGTAAGAGTTATGTTGTTTAATTAGGAATGATGATACATTCGTGATCAAATTGAATAATATATGATTTTAAAATAAATTTGTCGGTACGATACGCGCGCCACCTACTGTAAGTTAATTGTACTATGCCTATAACCTTTACGCAAGTGCAAGCAATAAGTTGACTAAGTTTTAGCGCAATCTGATGAATGAACGAGGAATTTTTATATATTAGCAGACTTCAAAAAATTCGTTTTTTCTTATAGAATACGGGTGACAAACGAGCATACAGTCCACTTGATGGTGTGTGGATGTTATGACCCATAGACATCTACATTTTTTCTCGATTAAGAATCAAAACGCAGATGCGTTGTCATCCACGAGGACTAAGATGCAATGCCTCGTTTCCAGTGAAAAGGATCTCCGGTTCCGACTCACTATACGAAACACAGCAGCATTGAGCTGCTATTTTATGCTGGTATTCAACTTCAACGTTGAAGATGAATTCCATACGTAGAGGTAGAAAATAGAGGGTGAAATTTTTATTGTAACAATTTAGACAAAATTCTAGTAGTTAAGTTGAGGTAGTCAAATTGCTAAGACCACTCAAAAGGTTGAAATAATTAACGCAGACTTCTAAAAATTAAAAAGAATACAAT